GTGTGTGTGTGTGTGTGTGTGTGTGTGTGTGTGTGTCTGGGAGTTATTTGGGGGATGACAAGGAGGTGGAGCATAAACTGAATTTGAAATTTCTTGGAGGGATAAGCACATCACAGTAACAGGACAAAAACGCTGCTATCTTCATTTTGGCACGGTGTAAATGTAATGCAATTATCTAAGGTATTTGCCAGTGCATGTAACTCAGTAGTCATAGCCCTTTGGTGTCATAACTCAGAGAAGCAATTTTGATACAGGCAGGAAGATTAGTAATGGTAAGATAGGAAGAACAGGGGCTGGTCTGAACAGGGCCAGCCCTAGAGATCTGGTCAGCATTAGGGCCACCTGGAAGCATCAAACTCCTATTTGGTATAAGCCAAGAATAGGCCATGAGGTCGTACAGCCAGATGCAGCACATGGAAACAAGATGCCCCAAATCAATTCTGACCTTTCCTCAGAGCTCAGGGGAGTGTTTACTGAAAGTCTTTTAAGTCCTTCCTCTACTGTTATGTCCTATTCTCCCAGCCTCTTCTCTCTTTTTACAAGTTAGCTTCCTGGTGTCAAAGATAAACTTTTATTTTGAGGGTCAGTATCCAACTCAGTTTGTAGTTCAAAAGGAATCGTTCAGAATATCTGTTTTCAACAAGCAAAAAGTTTGCATCAACTGAGCATATAAGTAATTACATTGAATCATTACTAGGAGAACTGTCTATAACAGCTAATTACCTGAAATCATTTAAAAACTTTTCCATTGGTAAATGATTTGATTTCATATTAAAACCATACATTAAATTGAATTACTCTTATTTTAAAAAGGAAATCATTGATAGTATGAATATTTATTTTGATGCGCATTGTATCCCTTTGAAACTCAGAGTAGAGTATGACATTTTTCTATTCTCAGGTTTTCTTCCTTGTTGGCCTATAAGCTTCCCGTGGAAGATGTTTACCCTCTATCTCAGGCCTTTCACAAATTAGAGGCAGGTAAGAATGACCATATTCAAATTAAGCTTTTGAAGAACCAATTAAGACTTAGATAATAGTTTAATAGGAGGTAATTGTGTAACAAATTTGTAAAACAGGCCCGGTAGGGCATGATTTTTAAGAATTCTAGTGGTAGATAATGGTGGGATTTAATCCCAACTTTGGTTACTCCAGCTCTATGAAAAGAGGTTAATCTCCAGTGCAGGGACTAAAGCTGCAAAAATACCTGTTCATGCCTGACTCTTCTCACTGTGAATCCATGACATTAACCTTAAAAAGCCCACCAGTGCAGCCTGCTTTGACTATGTGCAGACAATCCATTCACAAGTATCTTAAATTATTACTTCACTCCTTCTCTTATGTTGCATATACACCTCCTTCCAATTTTCAATGCCCATGCTTTGTGTTTCACTAATAAAATAAAAGCAACAGAGAAACCCTCCATCCATCCATCAACCTCCCGTATCTCTACTGTTCATCCTTCCTGTTATGAAGAATGGTAGCTAAGACCTTGCCCTGCATCGTGTGTAATTCTTCCTGCGACTTGAAACTGTCCATTCTGTCTTTTCTTTCATCTTTTTCTGCTTTATTCTGAGTCATTTCCAACAGCAGATCATGATGATGTAATTTATCAGCACAGCATACTGGTGAGGAGCTCAGACTCTGCAGCCGATCTTTCTGGGTCCTCATCCCGGTGCTGCTGCCTACTAGCAGGGAAATGTTGGGTGAAGTTACTCAATCCCTACAGTACTGGATATCTCATATTTCACAATGAGAAATAATATTAGTTCCTACTTGGTTGGTTTGTTAGAAGCATTAAATGAGTTAATTTATTAAATGCCTAGAACAGTGCCTGGCTCATTGCATTTGAAATAATATAAATCTCTCCTTTGCTCCTTCCACTAGGCAGCTGACTTCCTGGCTCTTCCTATCTTTTCCAGACATGCTCCTGCTTCAGGACTTTGCACTTGCTAATCCTTTCTCCTGAAGTTCTCCTTCCTAAATATCCAGGCTACTTCCTCGCTTTTTCAGATTTTTGTTCAATATTGTGGCCTTCCCTCATCGTCCTGTAAAAAAGAGTGGCCAGCACTCACTGTTTTCTTTACCTGATTTATTTTTCTTTATAGCTGCTATCATCATTTACTTTATTATATATTTAAAGGCTTCTGTATTTAATGCCAGTATACCTCCCAGTAAAATGCAAATTACAGGAAGGCAGGGGCCTTTGCCTGTTTTCTGTACTGTTCTATTCCTGGCATCTAAGAGTGCTTTGTACATTGGAGGTTCACAGTGTCCAAGGGTACTTCAAAAGTTTCGTGGGAAAATTGAATTAAAAGATAATACAAATCCTTCCATGAACTTCTTAAAGATGCCTTGTATAAATGGTGAACTGCCAAGACATGGATATATGAATCTGGTAACACCTTCAGATTTCCTGGTGGAGAAGCCCAGCAGAGAGGTGGTACGACAGATGAACTGGTTGAAATGAGTATTGGGTCTTTTTATTTATTTTATTTATTTATTTATTTATTTTTTTGTCTTTCTCCGTGTCCGGCAATGGATCGCAACCCTCAGTTTTGCCCCCGTACCGGACCAGGGACCGGCAACGGGATCGCAACCCTTGGCGCTGCTTCCTGCGCCTCGCTCAGCCAGTGAGCGGGAACCGGTCTGTATGTGGGATCCGAGCCCTCGG